AGTCGCCATCTAGACAGGCCCCGTGTATGTCAGAGCAGAACTCAACCCCATGGGGTTTTCAAGGCTGCAACTCTCAGAAGCCAATCATGAGGTCTGCCTTCAAAGGTGCTTCTTCTGGATGGGTTCGACCCTCCAACCTCTCAGCTGGTAAGCAAATATTTAGTCATTTGCATTCCCAACTACTAAACAAAGACTTGCATTTGAAATAGTAGGCCTTTGGGAGCTGGAGTGGCATCCACTTCCTAAACAACATGCCTCTGGAAACTCTATAAACTTTGATAAATGTCTATAGTTATAGAAAGGCTTCAGTTCTTTTGTTCATAGGGGAGCTAGGAGGGGAGCTAGGAGTCGTGCTCGACTGGACAGCAATCAACAACAACAACATCAGGTACAAGAACAAACGCCCTGACAGTGTGGCTCCTTCACTCAAGACCAGTGAAGTGAGAAGTTGCAACAGCCACATCTGGGGATGCGATTCACACACCAGGCCCGCTTAGTATTGCCTCAGGAAGCAGCATGACGGCCTGGGTAAGGTCCACCTGCCTTTCCTAACACAGTCCAGCTCAAGACCCTGCAGAGCTCCCTGACTCCTCCATACCTTCAGTCCCACAGTCAGGAGATGAGAGCATAGAGGGTGTTACAGGGGTTACACGGCCCACGCCTGACACATGGAAAGCACTCCAGAACTCTCAACAATCTCTATTTTTTCTATATGCAACAATGTGTATATGCATTCATTTTTCTCTCTCCAGGGTAGCACTTAAAAGTTGCAGCTCAAAATATTTTAAATGTGCCATGGCAGCAATTTAGAGGATGACAACCAGCATTTCTGGAAAATAAAATTGACTAGAATGTTGCATATAAATAATAATGTGGTCCTATTTTCCTTCTCTGTTGTTTACTATAACCAACAACAAAATAAAAAAATTAACCTAGAATATCTGTATTTCTATATTCATGTAACTATGTATCTAACAAAAAAACCCTTATGTATTCTTTATGAAGAAGAATATGACATCAGGGTTGGAAGAAGACTCAGTTATGAAGATGACACCACCCTGCTTGCTGAAACTAAGGAGGACCTGAAGTGCCTGCTGCAGAAATTCCAGTACTATAGTCTCCAATATGGATTGAAGCTTAACATCAAGAAGACAATGATTCTCATCACAGGGCAAATTGGTATCATTATGATAGATACAAAAGAGACTGAGGTTGTTAACAATTTCAGCTTGCTGAATTTGAAACGTTTGTTGTAGATCAAGAACTGTATGATCAATATGGACTGTATCTCAACAGCACGAGGGGAAGGACCACATCCTCGTCATCAACAGGCAGCATCGTGATAGATGGAGAAAGGACTGAAGTTGTTAATGATTTCATCTTGCTGAGACCCACAACCAACTGAGATCCGTTGGCACCAGCAGCCAGGAAATCAAAAGATGAGTTGCTCTGGGAAAATCTGCTGTCAAGGACCTCTCCAGAATATCAAAGGGTAACAATGTCAGCCTTGAGAATGAGGTGTACTTGATCCAGGCCATGGTCTTCACAATAGCATGCTATGCATCAGAGAGCTGGGCAATGACTCAGGATGACAGAAGAAGAATAGATCCCTTTGAGTTGTGGTGTTCGAGAAGAGCACTGAACATACAATGGACTGCCAAGAGAACGAGCAGGTCCATCCTGGAGAAGCTGGAGCCACGCTGCTCCATGGAAGCAAGAATTCTGAAGCTCCTTCTCACATACTTTGGACATCTCAAGAGGGACTAATCCTTGGAGACACATATTATGCTTTATGGGTGGAGGGATAGTGCAGTAGAGGAAGACCCTGGATGGGATGGATTGACACAGTGACTGCGTCAATGAGGTCAGGTATGTCAGAGATGGTGAGGCTGGCTCAGGAGAGGACAGGGTTCAGAGCCTTTGTTCATAGGGGTGCTATGAGTCATAGTCAACTCAACGACACATGACAATAACAGCATGTACGTAACAGACTACAATAGAGAGAGTATTTCTTTTCAGGAATCACCATCAGAGGCTTTCAAAAATATTGTTTTGTAAGGTGGGGATGGCAAGAAGTTAGAGAGAAGAGCAAACTCAAAAATCCATTGCGGTTGAGTAGGGGCCAATTCTAGCTGACCCGTCACTGGGTTTCTGAGTCAGTAAATCACAGGAGATGGCCCATCTTTCTCCCCGAGGGCTGCTGGTGGTTCCAACTGCCAGAGAGACTTGGCCTTTGAGTGACCAGTCAACTCCCTACGAATTACACCACCAGAGAAGCAGCAACATGCCTGGAACAATTTTTTTTTTTAAGCCAGCTATGAAAACTCAAGGAAAGGCCTTCGAAACGGACAGTCAGTAGTTACTCTGAGCACATCAGCCCAGGCAGGCTGCTAGTGGCATTTTGATGATCTGAGCTTAGCAATATGTTTTCCTTTCCAAATCACAGCAAATTGCAAAACTAGAATGATCGATGTTATCTTAACATTGGGCAAGTTTGGAAAAGCTGACGTGACTTTCCTGGTAAGTCCCGTGGCAGAACTCATAGAAGGAGAGGCTAGGCCAGACTTCAAATGCTCTTAAAACCCGTCAGGGTTGGGAAACAGATGAAAATGCCTCAAACAGAAATACTTAAATGTGATTCTAGATTTAACCTATCAACATCCCTCTTACCCAAACTCCCAAGGGGACATTTAACTACTTTGGGCATGTTGCTAGGAAAGGTTATTCCTTGGAGAAGGATATCATGCTTGGAAAGGTGGAGGGATGGCAAAGAAGAGGAAGACCCTCAATCAGCAATCAGATGGATTCACACAGTGACTGTGGTAATGTGCTTGGGTGTGTCAGAAATTGTGAGGATGGTACAAGATAGGGCAGGTTTCAGATGTGTTGCTCATAGAGTTGCTATGAGTCATATTTGACTCTACATCACCTAACAACAACTACAATAATCCATGAGGAATAGATGGAAGGGGGCATTGTTTTTTGGACTACTTACTCATCCACATATTTTTATTATTAAATGAAGGTGTCCTATTAACATATTCATTATCTACTGACAATTTTCCCCATGATTTTTCTACTCCCGGAGTAAAAAAGAATGACAGACGAACATCTTGAAGAGAAATACCAGCCTCACTTTATCAACATTCAGGCCATATTCCATACAGCACCTCTCATATCATTTTACCAACAGTTCACATCTCTACCTGCATGCTCTGGGTTGAAGGTCTACAATCCATTTTAAAAAGCAGGGAAAATCCAAAGTCATATCAACTCATCATGTACATATAAAAACCTACATACGCAACAGAGTAAAAATTCCAAAATCCAATTTTTTTTTCCCCCAGTAATTCGGAAGAATTTTGAATTGATGATTTGCCAGCCTGTTGAGACACTCAAACTCTTTGTGGTCTCCCAAAGTGACTTCTAATTAGTCTTCAAATAAAAATGAGCAAGACAAAAGCATTGTAAATCACAACAATAGTTTTTCTCTTAATGCAAATCTTCTTCAAACCCAAAATGGAGTATAAAGGTTGGCATGAAATTAATGTCAGAATCATGCTTAACCAGATCCTATGAAGGCAAGACTCAACACATCCAGCCGCCCACCCAACTGTAACCCCTTTAATCAAATATATTGTTTCTTTAGAGAGTTTGGCCAACTTCCTCTAAAAATTCCAAGAACACTTCCTATTTCTGCCAGTTTTTATTTATGCAATTAAATTGGCTTTTCCTTAAGCACTGGACTGGAGAAACAATATATTTTTATAAGCCCATTAGTCATACCGCCAGGTTTCATTATATCATAATCATTCTTCAGGAGTCCATAATGAGAATGTTGTTTCTCTGGGTGATGAGAATGTCCAGGAAAATATGTACCCACAATAGACCATCAGAGGTGTGAAATGGAGAAAGAGCCCCAGGCACAGTGAAAACCTGGGGTTAAGTCAGTCGTTCATTCTCTGCCTAAGAGCAGATAGTTAGATGAACACAAATCTAGCTTTAACCTAAGCAGCACAACCTTTAATTATTAATCGCCTCCACGCTTCCACCCTTTCCAAATTCCACTCCCTCAAGAGAAGTCAAACACTTCATTCACAATTGCGTTATTAAAGACTCCCATGGAAGGGCATTTTTGGCTTCCAGGTGGTTTTTTTTTTTTTCTCCAGCGGATGTTTGTTACCATTTTTTCTCCATGTTTCTCAGCCTATGGCTGTTGGACTGGTGTAAATCCTGAGACTCTGGACTGTGGAAAGTCACACTGTCACGGTGGTCAGGGCAGGCTGGAGCGCAGCTTGGAGCTGGTTGAGCCCCCTTCCTACCAGCTGGGCGCCTTCAGGGCCTCCCCGGAATGGCATCTGCGCGCATCAGCCAGGTACCAGAGCATGAGAAGTGAAAAAGCTTGCTGTTTTCAACAAAGCGCAACGTGCGCGGTTGGGAAGCGCAAGGAAGAGTTACACCGATGCGCGCCCAGGCTGCCTGGAAAAAGGAGGTGCTCACTCCACGATTCTAATGGAGATCTACAGAATGAAGGGACTCTCTGAGATGCCCAAGGCCTTTCCCTTGGATTGGCAGCTCTCAAGTTTCCTGTCATTTTCCTTCCCCCAGAACCATACCTGCCCAGATCCCTTGGTGAATGCCTTTACCCTCACCACTGCTGGAGCGCAGCAGGGGTGAACCACATCCAAACGCTGCTTCTTTAGCACAGTCCGGCTAAGAAGCGCCAGGGGCTCCAAGATGAGAGGAGGTGTACTTCACAGGATCCATCCCTCCCCAACGCCATAAAGGGGTCCACAGTTCTCTGAGAAGCCAGCAGCTGAATGCAGCCAGTGGCACCCCTACCGCTGCACCCCAGCGCCAGAGGGCAGAGGGCACCCAGTGGAGTGTGTGTGTGTGTGTGTGTGTTTTGAATCCTGAGGGAGGGTTTCTGGCGAAATCAGGGGCGCGTAGATGGGGAGCAGAAAGCCCCCAACCATCCAACCTCCTCTCCTGGCCCGTACCTCGCAGCCGTACAGCTGACCCAGCTGCTCCACGATCCACTCCTCCAGCACCAGCCGCTTCCGCAGCTCTTTCCGATCGTATTTCACCGTCACCTTTCCCTGCTGGTGGCGCCGCTGCTGCTGCTGCTGCTGGAGTTGCCCGCTGGCTGCTGCTGGGGCCCCGGCCGCAGACTCCTCCCGGGAAGAGCCCGCACCGCCGCCGGCGCCGCCCCGGGGGCTCTGGAAGAAGACCCGCGTGCCACTGCCACCAGCCCCGCCGGCCGCCTCACTGCTGCCTGTGGCCACCGACATGTCCTCGCGGGGCCCGGAGCGCGCCCGGCGCCGCTACCACCCCCGGCCGGGCCGCGGCATGCGCGGGGGCTCCGGCACCTGCTCCGCGCAGCGCGCTCTCCAGCGAGTCGGGAGGAGCCGGCGGGCAGACGAGGGAGGAGGCAGGGGCGGAGACCGTGGCCTTAAAGACGCGGGAGGAGGGGGGCGTGGGCCCGGGCGCTGCACGAGGCTGGGGCGCGCGTAGACGCGCGAGACTCCGGTGGGTGACCGCTGGCGTGGCCTGGGGCCGCGGACGGGTGTCGCTGTGCTCGCCACTTGGGTGCGGTGGTCTCGCCTCCCGCCTCCGCCTGCCGGCCCTGCACCGAAGCCACCCTCGCCCACCACCCCCTCTGCTGGCGGGGGACGCCTCTCCGCCTCCGCACCCCACCCAGAGGCGCCAAACACAGGTTCCTATTCACGCCTCGGTGTTGGAGGGGGAAGACATGGATGCGGGGAGGTTTGTGCAGTTGGGTAATCACCGCGCCTGAAAATTGTTTTCAGATCAATTCTCTTTTCCTTGCAAAGCTAATCCCAGACCAAGAAGCGTTAAGACCTCTGCACAGCCAAAGGGGCGAGGTGGCTGGGGGTTCCTTTCTCCAAAAGAATCAGAAGCAGGTCTGTCCTCCACCTCCACCCCCACCCCCAGTTTTCAAACATTGCATTCCCTGCCTCGCCAGCTTTCTTTTCTCCGTGCCATTTCCAAACAACCTCCTCTTGCCCCGGGGAAGCAACGGCAACTCTGCTTTAAAAACCGCGTAGAGCCCGGCGGAGCTGCACATGAATGGGCTTATTATGAGGCTGAGGGCATGGAGATGGGGAGGGAGATTATAAACACAGGGCTGCGTGTGTAGGTGTGTAAAATTAGAGGCAGACACTAGTACATTTCTGCTGTACATAACAATGCATTTCTGTTCCAGCAGCGGAAAGCGAGGGAGATGGTCGAACACTAGTGGTAGCAGCGTTTGTGAACATTTTTTAATTTTTTTTTAAACTGGCAAAGGTTACTGGCAGCCGCTCAAGGAAGTTCTCTGAGATAACTAAGTGGCTGAGTTGGTTTCTCTCTCGGTGGAGAGGATTCCGTTTTAAGGTTTCAGTGAGGCAGCTCTGGAGCAAAGGCGGCTACAGAGAAGCAGGCCGGCCCTTCCCACTGGTACTGGCTCTGGCTCTGCAGCTCAGCTCTGCCCTCGCTGATCAAAATCATGGTTCTTTTGTTCTGCCTGGGGCTTTCCAGCAAGCGCCCAGGTACAGAGGGGGTTTTCCTTCCTATCGTGGTTAATGCCTGCAGCTCCTTCACTAGATAGTTTGAAGAGTGAAAGGGAAGGATCTCATGGGGAATCCTCTGAAGAGGGCTGGCTGGAGAGGCCTGGGACCCTGTCACACTCATAAGGTGCTCAAGGCTGAAAGGTCCCTGCCTCTCCAAGGAGGTCCCCCTAGAAGGTGGTAGTGTCGCCAACTTACCAAAAGGCCCAAACAACCAGTTGGTGCCTACTTGTCCTGCCCCCATGTGGTGCGGAGTAGACCTAAGCATTGACTGTGCTGTTAACTGAAAGTTAGCCCTTCAAGCCTCCAAGTGGTCCTGGAGGAGGAAAGACCTGCCTATCTACTAATACAAAGATTACAGCCTGAGAGTCCCTATGAGATACATCTACCCTCAGACAGGGTCTCTCTGGGTGGGAATCAACTCAACAGCAAAGAGCTTGACAGAGGGAGCTGCCCCATCAGTCACACAGAGTGGCTGGTAGGTTTCAATCATCAGCCTTGCCGTTAGCAGTGAAGTATTGGACCATTGTGCTAGCAGGGTTCCTTCCATCAAAACAGCAATTCAAGGCCTTTACACTGCCTGGAGTCCTCATCAGGGGCTCTGATGGCGTGGACGGTTAACAGGTTTGCACTGCCAATCTAATGGTGACGCCTCTGGTGGTTTCCATTCCACTGGCTTCTCAGGAGCCAGGCTTCTCACTGCAATCTCGAAGGCATGCGGTTTGAATTCACCAGCTGCTCTGAGGAAAAATGATGAGCAGTCTTCTCCGTTGTGATTAACTGTCTCTGAAATCCCATAGGAGGAGCATCTATAAGGTCGTGCCAAGTCAACAGTACACAACAATAACATCATAATATTTTCAGTCACCTCATGGGTGTATGAAAATCAGATGATGAAACAAGAATTGATGCAGAAGCCATCTTTCATGTGATTCCAGGCTCTGAAAAATGCTGGAGAGGCACTTAGAAGTCAGTTCTATCTTGACAACAATGAGATAGAAAGAAAATCTTCATCAAAGAGGCACAGTGGGTTAAGCTTTGGGCTGCTGGCCGTAAGGTCGGAGACTAGAATCCACCAGCCACGCTGCCCTGCAGGTTGCTGTGTGTCAGCGTGGATTGATGGCAGTGACTTGCTTTTGGTTTACGACTTCGTCATATACAGGAGGGATGAAATTCCCATGACTGGCCCCTTAAAGACTGATGACTGTTGGACAGCTCACCTCCACCCCTATTTCTCATGGAAGGTTTCTGATTGTTGCCATTGAGTCGTCTCTGACTCATGATGACCTTATGCATAATAAAGCAAAGCTTTGTATCATCCAGTGTCAATTTCATGATCAGCCCAGGACAGCTAAACTCAAAATACAGAGATCAGCACTGCAGTGAAGTGAAGCTCAGGCTGGAGGAAAAGGAGGGAAAGGCAGCAGACAGCAACAGTCTCCTCGCACAGAAGCAAGCTTCTCCCCAAAGCCATCTGGTCCATATCCAGATTAGTTAGCACCACCTTCAACCAACCGAACAGCCAGGAGAAATTCTAGCAAAGCAAAAATAGCTAAAATTGCCATTGATGAAGGAGAAACTGTAAAATCTCTGCTCAGCCGTGGTTCTGGAACCTGTCAGTACCGGGTATTTTGAGAATTGGGCCTATGGCCTCACAGCACAGCATGGAATAGGAAATTCCAACTCCTTACTCCAAGTCTTTGGACAATGAGTTCAGTCATTCAAAAGTAACTTCAAAGAATTCATAAAAATTCACCAAGTTCTTCTGTAGAAATTCTTGAGTCCATTTTTTCCTCCTCTCCAAGTAGAATGAGTTTTCTTTTGTGCTTAAACTTAAAACTTGACTTTCACTCAATTACTCCAAAAACAACAGGTACTAAAGAGATATTTTAAAAGAACCTTAGCGTTTTAGGTACCTTGCAGAAAAAAAAAAACAAAACACTAAAACAAACAGGGGAAATCAGTATTTTTACACTGACGTGTCATGTATTGGCCTTCAAGATACACAAATTAGTCATGTGAATATACAGTTAGGAGTTGAATAAACAATTGAATAAACAATTCTTCCTATAAATCTATTGGCTCCCCTCAGAGCAAAATTTATACTTGAAGAGAGTACCTTTATACCTTCCCCCTACATAATATTTTAGAGGCACTCTGGTGGCCTCCTGGTAAGAAGCTGCACTGCAATCTCTAAAGCACGTGGTTTGAATGCACCAGCTGCTCTGAGGAAAAAAGATGGACAGTCTTCTCCCTTGTGATTAACTGTCTCTGAAATCCCAGAGGAGGATCATCTATAAGGTGGTTCCGACTCAACAGTACACAACAATAACATCATAACATTATCAGTCACCTCATGTGCGTATGAAAATCGGGTCATGAAGAAGAATCTATGCCTTTGAATTATGTTGTTGGTGAAGAATATTGAATGTTCCATGGTCCGCGGAGAGAGCAGACCAATCCATGCTGGAAGTGCAGCCAGACTGTCCCTGAGAAGGATGTTCACATATTTAGTGCATTATCAAGTGGGGTCAATCCCAGGGGAAAGCCAGCATGGTGGATAGAGCAGAGACTCAGCAAAAATGAAAGACCCTCAGTGAGAGGGCTTAACACAGTGATTGCAACAGTGAGCCAAAGTACAGCAGCGACTGTGAGGATAGCAGCGGGCTGGGAAGCATTCTGTTCTTTTATTGATAGGGTTACTACGACTTGACTATGCAAAGGCATTTCACTGAGTGGATCACAATAGATTATGGCTAACCCTGAGGAGAATGGGGATCCCAGAGCACTTGATTGAGTTCATGTAAAACCTACACTTAGACCAGAAAGAAATCGTCAGAACAGAGCAAGGATACACTGCATGGTTCAAAATCAGGAAAGGAGTGCATCAGGGATGCGTCCTATCTCCATACCTTTTCGATCTATATGCAGAACAGATCATTTGGGAGGCGGGGCTTTATGAGGAGGAATATGGCATCAGGATTGAAGGAAGATTTATCAACAACCTACATTATTCAGATTACACAGCCCTGCTTACTGAAAGTGAGGAGAATCTGCGACATTTGCTGCAGAAGATCAAGGACTATAATCTTTAATATGGATTGAAGCTAATTCAATGCTGATTCATTTTATAAAACGTAATGAATGGAAATAATCATATGCAACACAATGTGAATGAAGGATCGTGTGTAACACAAGGTATACGAACTTTGTCAGAAAACAAATATGAAGTAAAAATTATTTTAAAATAAAAACTCAACACATCAAGAAGAAAAATATTTTCACCACTGGGCCAATTGGGAGCATCATGACAATGGAGAAGAGATTGAAATTGTTAACAATTTCAGCCTTCTCAGATCCACAATCAACCCTCTTGGCACCAGCAGCAAAGAAATCAAAAGATGACTTTTTCTGGGGAAAGCTGCTGTCAGAGATCTCTCCCAAGTGCAAACGAGCAATGCTTTTAGCCTGAAGACTAAGGTACACCTGATTCCAGGCATGTTCTTCACAGTTACTTGCTATGCATCAGAGAGCTGGACAATGACTATAAGTTGACAGAATTAGTGCCTTTAATTAAAATTAATTAGTGCCTTTAATTAAGTTAAAAGAATTAATGCCTTGGAGTTGTGCTTCTGGAAAAGAGTGTTGAATGTACCCTAGACTGCCAAAAGAACAGGTTTATCCTAGAGAGGGTGATACCAGGATGCTCCATGGAGGCAAGG